CATACACAGGGAACTAGAAAAAGCAGGGAATACTTTGGGAAACATCAAGTTTACATTAACTGTAAAACAAAACACTAGTTTCTGTAAGCAGCTGTTGTGGTGACGCTGTTCGGGTAAAGAAGCCTTTCTTTAACATTTTCTGTATGTAACGAATCATACAGAAGGGTTTTAAAGAAACAATGCATATATTAACAGATGTTTCTGTGGTCACACCTGCAACAGAGTGTAAAGGTAAATGTATTTTATTCCTCTATCATATTAGATTTGTAAATTTACTGTATCTAAACAACTAAAAATTCAGTAAAATATTTTAATATACAGATTAAAATATTCATAAATAATTGATATTTTGCTTAAAAAAAGTTTTCACAGGGGGGGGGGGGGACTGCCTTCCACTTTCTTTCTTTTTTCTTCTGTGGAATATATATAGTATTCACACAACATTTTGGTACCAAATTCCACACATGATCCAAATTGGGAAATTTTGGTTGTGGGCTACATTAACAAATTTCTAACACGTTGTTGCAGGATAACCAAACATATATATAAAAAAAATTCACATAATTATGTTGCCACATCCAACTTTGTTACAGGATCTTACCAAGTTCTTTCCACATTCCATGAGAATTATTGAACGGACAGGAAGGGTAGGATCGTTTTTACACTTCTCATCCGAACTTCCAAATACGAGTCTAAAGAAACCCTTCTTCTTTTCAAAGATTACCCTCCGAGTTCCAAAACTAGTGGTGACATTCTTCTCAACGGAACACACAAAGCTTCCAGAGCAGTTTCTCAGAACGTCATCCCAGGTTGCTGTTTATGCTTTTATATATTTTAATTTTTCAGGTTTACATGGAAAGCCATAGGATTTCAGGATAGCATTATCTCTATAATAAACTATAGGAATACACAATTCTACATCAATCCCTGCAAACCCCTGTCTTTTGTTAACAACAGCATTCTTGATCGTAAGGGAAATCCTGAAATTGATCTAAGTCATGTATATATTAATATTTTGATTGTAAGTAAAATGATTAAAAGTAGTGTGAGGATCAGACAAAATTTTCTGCGGGGTTTTAAAGTAGATTGAAAACAAGTAGTGAACGTTTATCATTTATAGCAGGTGAATGGACAGTTGCTAATGTGACTTGTGTGTTTAAAGAGAAATTACAAGTTGTACTTATTTAGCAGAAAAAATATGGAATAAGTGATAATAGAAACTGAAAAATTTTGTAATGAAGTGTGATAAATGAAACAAGGGCTGACATTAAATCACTAAAGATGAAACTTGACTTACTAATCTGTTGACTTTTATAATTTTACTTGTTATCTAGACGAGAGTGTGTACTTGTACTTAGATTTTCAAAAGGCTTTGTTAAGTGGTCACATTCAAGATTGGCCAAGAAAATATCACTGATGAGGGTTGGGAAAAGACGATTTAAATTGGGTTGGAGGGTAGGTGGGTGAGAGAAAGCAGAAGTTAAAAGTGGAGTCAATTCAAACTGGACTTTCGTTGTTAGCGTGCCTCAGAGGCCAGTGCTTAACCCTTTGTTGTTTTTTTTTTTACTTACTGTAATGATGATGTTGAGGGTACTACAGAATGGTAAGTTTTAATAATATTGGAGCCTTTTACCGTAATTGTCTCGAGGGAAAGTAAGTTAATAAGAGATATTAACCTATACCCATAAGATAACATTTCAATTCCTGGAATCATTCTAGTATCCCTCATCTAAACCTTTTCCACTAAGTGAACATCCTCTTTGTGAGGAAGATGAGAAAAATAACTTTGTTTTGTGTATCTAATACAACTGGGAGTCCATTTAATACAATGATCAAAGAAAAGGATCTTGGCATTGGTGTACAAGCTATAGAAGCAATGTTTTGTTCCTAGTAATAAACTTGTAAAATTGTAAGACGTCTTTGTAGACATTTGTCACAAGTCAAAAGAGGTAAATACCTCTTTAAATCACTATTTATGCCTCTCTTAAATATTGTTTAGGTTATGGTCTTAACTAAAAGGAAACTGACTAGTTGAAAAGGGTTCGAAAGAGTGCTACTAGGATGATTTTGGTGTTGAAAAGTTTATAATATGGAGATAGGTTAAGATTTCTTAACTTTTCTCCTGAGAAAAGTATCACAGGTGATCTTATTGAAGTTGCAAGGTTATCCATGAGATCATCAGGATAAAGGCCTTTGATTTCTTTAAAAGTTTATAAAGATTTGAAAAGATAGGTTAGGCTGCTGTTAAAACTCTATTTTTTAATGAGGTCTTTAGTTTATTGAATGAGTTACCATTGACATTAGCAGAGACTGGCACCTTACAAGAGTTTAATATGGTACACATATTTGTAACAATGGCTGATAGTTTATTCCCTAACTTGCCAATAACCAAGTATTACAGTTACATAACCTCAGTATCTGACAATCAACAATAATTTTAGCCGTAATTTTAAGATTTAGCCAGCTTGAGAGATTTAGTCCATGCTCTGAGTTCACTCAGTCAGTCATAATGCAAGTCATCTTCTGAAGTGCAGTTGTAATTGAAAAACTGTTAATCATTATAACCAGCATGATTTAATGAAGCTTGCAGTAAAGAACTATTGAATAACTAATATTTACAAACCCCACCCTTTGTCAGTGAGATCTATACAGGGTATCAAACCAATTGAATATGAACATTTGTTTTACCACAAATTTTTGATACAAGTTTAAGATTGTCAGATTAGGGAATCAATTGTTTGATCAAACAATTTAGTTTCATTTTTAGGAGTGTGGATATTATTGTATAGATAAAGCATTTTTACATATCGACACGTGTTTCTCAACATTTGTTTTCCAGGACATTTAATCATCATTTTCTATGTAAACTTATAATGTTGTGCAGTGAAGCCACCCACTCTCCTGTTTGACGTACACATCATCACTGAAATGATTCTCTACATTCAAAGTTTTCCAAGAAACCAAGTTTTGTTATACATGTATTTCTTAGCACATCATATTACAGGTTTTATAAAACACTGCATTAAAGTTACATGAACCAACGAGTAGCTTACTGCACAAATAGTACTGGAAAGTGTCCATCATCGTAAAATAAAGTCCAAAAAACCTAACCTTTCATTTTAACTTCTATCATTTTAATGAATCAGAAATAATTACTAACCAACTATATCCAAAACTTGGAAATATTTTATAACCATAATTTTGTACCAATTTGGAACCAAGTTTTCTATAATCAGTTTATTACGTGACCATTTTATTAACACACATTACTTTTAAATTTAAATTTACTTCTGATCCAAGTTTACTTTTGTTCAAAGTTCCTAAATTTTATCACTAGAACCCTTAATAACTTTTGAATGGTCAAATATATCTGTTATTTGGATATTGCTGTTCAGCCAAAGAGAGTCTCACCCCTTCCTTAAAAATAGCTTCCGATAACAGATCAAGTTAATTACACAGATGAGAATTAAATATTAATATAACTTATTGTATATACTAGCTTCCAATAACAGATCAAGTTAATTACACAGATGAGAATTAAATATTAATATAACTTATTGTATATACTAGCTTCCAATAACAGATCAAGTTAATTACACAGATGAGAATTA